TACGCCGAAATGAAGACGTCTCGAGTGAGAGCGCTGTTCATAACTTCACGTCAAGGCGTCCAAAATGTTTGCGCGACGGAAGAGCACGCTGCGTGCTGCGGGCGACACACGTGGAAATAATTAGAACCCCACACAAGATGTGGGAATAAAACCTGCCAGCGAACTATGAACCCAAGGTTCTCTCCACGAAGAGGTATGAGATTGCTTAGCTCCAAGCAAGGTTTGTGCATGCCCTAGGTTTCTTCCATGAGAAGGTAAGGGTTCCACTCTTGCCAGCCTGTAAGTTTTTTTTGTAGACTTGCCCAGTTTCACCCGAGAGCTCTAGATAGCCGACAAGTGGAACGGTTACGCACCATGAGGTAAGTCTGTGCCTGATTGAGATAGCTACAGTCCTGTTCCAGTGCAATCAGTCCATGTGCAGTTCATGTGAGCACAATCGACATGTTGTGCTTGCTCTCAAGGTTTTTAGGGACTCTGTACTCGAGTAGCGCGATAGCAAGAGACATTCGAGAATATCGCCAGGCCGGCCCATGCTACAGCCCTTAAACGTCTGTGTTTACATCTGTGTGGAGTGATGGTCGTTGTGTTCCTTTGTCCAACCTAGTTGACAATCTAATCAAAGTATCTGGGCCCTGTTTCAAAGCCAGAACTTGGAAGTCTTCCTGCCTCTGGTCCTGCGCTACCTCCACCAACTCAACAAACATCTCCCTACTACACCTCTCAACCCCTCGCCCTTCTCCTCGTCCAACAAGTGCTCCAATGCGGGCAAACGCCCTTTTGCCGCAGCCACTCCAAGTGGAGTCTCTTCACAACCAGCGCAGTCTGCATCAAAATACAAAGCCAATTCCTTCAACATATCCCAGCGCTCTAGTCGCACTGCTTTCTGCGCAAAGCCGCATGCATTCGCATGTTGTTGAAGATACCCAAGCGTATACCATGACATCGTTTGGTTCAATGCTGTTCGATCATTCAGGTCTATGGCTCGAAGGACGCATTGCTGTGGCGAGAGGGTTGCCAAAACGTCATAGTTGCCATTCCACGGCAGGTAGCTCTCACAATAGTCGCAGCTGGCATTCCGCACTGCGCGGAAACGTTTCTCTACCACCGGCTCATTGAAGCAGTCTCGTACGGATTCTGTCACTTCCGTTTCGACATCAAACCGCTCGTCCAGAATGAAACTATGAAGCTGGTCTATGTGAGGAACACCGCACACAACGTATTCGTTGCGGACAGTATGCAAGTCAAAGTGTGGTAGTAGAAAGCCTGTCGTCGCATTCAGCACAACAGGTGGCGGATGCGGCACCACCTTGAAGGGCAACGCTTCTTTCTCAACATCTGTTTCATCCTGGGTTGTCCCGACCACAAGTTGATTGCCACGCATCAGAAGAGTCGAAGGCATAGCTTTGAAGAATTTATTGCCTGGCAGTTGCAATATCGATGCAATTTTTTGATTCATCTCACCAACATCTAATCAAGATCGAAGATCATGCATCATCATCATCATCATCATTATTCTTTGTCTAATCCACATTCCAATTGTATCATCCTCTTCCGAAACAGGCGACAAACATTGACATTGAAATCAAATCAAAACAACCCAGTCACTGATGTTCAAGCCACTGGTATTGCTGGCAACCAGTTCTTCAAATTCTTCCTTCGCGGAACTGGTCACATCACCACCGTTCTCCAGACGTAGTTGTGCACGCTTGCCACTGAGGCTCACGTCCTGCAGCCATTGTACCAATCCCTTTCCGGACAGACTTCCTGTCCTTCAGGGTTTGCGATATGCCTACTACAAGCATCATGAATCAGATCATCTATAACACATTAGCATCCTTCTTTATGATTTTATGTGCTACCATGTAAGCCAGAAGCAATTCATGAAAGGCAAAGTCCAACTCATCTAAAACCGATGTGGCATAAAGTGCCGACATCCAATCTTGCTCATTGACGCGGACGACGCGGACAAAATTTCCGTTGTCACTGGCTGAATGGTGTATGTACAGTACCAATCTACCAAACGTATTCCTGGGCTGAATCTGGACATCTGTCTTGGCGCTTCGAAGAAATAGACAGATGGGTGAGGATGAGGAGGTAGACCCCATGAAACCTGCGGCAGTGAAGACCTTCTCCTCCTTCGAGCATTCGTTTCCGAAACCTGATTCTTCGGCGCCACAGAGGCAGGTTCCATGCGAATAGCGAGGCAAATGAGACCTGAAAGAGTCTGAAGGTGAAGTAAAAACACGCGAAATCGCTACACATGAGCTACTGAGCGCAGGCTTTCGCCTTGCAAGAATCATGAACTATCGTGAGTTCTCATGAACAGTTATGACCTCGAAACTCACCTATGTCCCATATGCGCATCAATGCCAATGTGATAGATTTACCTTCAAACTTAAATGAACAGCTATCAGGCCACCTGTGTTCATCTTCTTCTGAGACTGGGCCAAGTGGGGCAAATGAAATGGATTGGAGTTCCACTTCAAGCGTGCAATTGCCCACAAGCTCCGGAACATACCATTCAGCATTCCTTGGTCCGGATATGTTGAGTTATGGATGGTCCAGCGACCCAAAAGACAACAGGTTCATTACAAAATCCGAATGTTCGACAATTCTTCTTGTTTATGCCCACTGTGATTGTCATTGAAGAGTCTGGATGCATTTTGGGGGAAGGCACAATGTTCTCAAATCGAATTGGGTGGTAAGCCCGAACTTACAACAGGTAACTTCGTCCCATCTAATTTCTGTATGTCCACACAGCTACAGAGGCCCATCTGCACAGTCTATACTAGTCTGCACATATAGAACGTTCATGATGTATCTTGATGATGCATCTTAATGTATCATCGCATAACATTGACGTTTTTGCGCATATTTGCCATGTTGGGGAGCATACTAGACTTCAACAGAAGACGTCCAAGAGTCTGCTTCTGATACTCCCACCGTCTGCGCTCCGCAAAAGGAACGCGCTCCGAGCCTTTCGCAACCTCACCTGTCAATGAGACTTCAATGGATTCGCCCACGCGCACCAAGTGGAAAGTATACCTGGTTGCATGATGTCACATGGTGTCATATAATGTCAGGTGATAGATATCCTCTGAGTTGCTGGGAACTTGGATGGTTTGGATTCCTGCTATGCTGGAATAGCCATAGAAAAAGTCTTTGCAAGCTCTGAAGAGGTCATTGTCTTGGTTCTACCATCTTGTACCGCAAAAAATCTCGTCAAGCGTTTCAGGTTGGTTGCTGAGTTCAAGGATGTTCACAGTCTAAGGAACAAGGACCTTTTCGAGAGTTTTACTCAAGAACCGCATTTACAAAAAGAGGTTCTGTGATCCAAACTTTCCAAGTTCGGTCCAAGCCACTGAGTGGCTTTAATCCTGAGTGCGCTCTGAGCTTCAACTGTGACCCGCGTGTAAAGTGGTCCTTGCGGCAAATTGAGCTGATATTTCAGCATGGGTTGCGTCCCTTCTGCTTCAGCCTCACCCAGTAAGGGCACGGTCAAAGTTTGGTCCTCCAACTGCAAATGTTCCAACTTCAAAGTCACGTTCTTCGTGAAGGCTCCGGGTTCAAGCACAAAGTTCACTGAATCTGTGGACTCGTGCAGTAGCAAGGTGTTCTGTGAAGCCGTAGCTTGCGAAAGGTAGACCAAGTGGCCTTCACTGAAAGAATAGTCCACCAGGACGCCTCCCCGGTCAGGGCTCAAAGAATGAAGCATGAGGCCAGACCTGCTAGACCTATCCCTGAAATGCCGGCCTTGCATCTGAGAAACATCGGAGCCCATCATAATCAGAACGACCAAGCCAGTTGCTACCACCACCAAGGAAAAGAAACCGGCCAAAAGGGAGTGAATTTCCTGAAGGTTCATATGTTTCTTGATGTCTCATCATGCATAACACAAACTTGTTGAAATTGCAGCGTCGTGAAAAATTGCAATGACCAAAGAATGAGTTTGAATTGAACATGGGTTGTTTAGAGGGTCAGACAAAGGATGTCCCATGGAACAAAACCATCCATGTGTCTCTCTTCTTGCTCAAAGTCATAGATGTAGATCCTGCTGCGGTCGTGGTTGGTAATGTTTCTCCTGGATAGTCCGTGTATTCGCCAGTGAGTTGCGGTTCCCTCCATTTGCTGAGGCCTGTTACACATGCCCTCAGCTCCAAGGAATGTATGAACACTGCCCCAAAGGGTGCCACACTGGAGCACAGGGCGGATGGGAAGTCGGAGAGTGTATCCAACGTTGCAAGGCCAAAGAGAAAGGTCACAGCCAAGACCAGTAGAATCACCGAAAAATTCTGTATAGTTCTCCTGTCACTTGGCCGTAGGCGTTGCCGCTCTCGTTCTAAGACTTCGTCGCAGTAGACACCCCACTGGACTGTAGAAGTGAGTTCATATACTACGAAAACATGGACAGAGAAGAAGCTCAACACAATGCCGATGAAGACCTACAGGAAAGCACATGAAGAGCACATGAGGCTTTCAGGTGATGAGCCAACACCTTGAAACATTTTGCCTTGTCCAAACGTGCCTCCAAACGCATCAGGCCGGCCAATTTGCCAAGAAGAAGCCACTGTGCAGAAGCATGGCTTGCTGCAAGCACCACTTCCCTACGAAAGAAAGAGAAAAGTGGAATCATAAGTTGTTGATTAGCACGGTATGGTGCCCGGTCACTTTCTGAGACAACTTTGGAAGTGCCGTCGTGTCCATCGTGCAAGACAATCCATCCTGTGCAGACAGAACAGGCTCCCATCATGTGCAAGTGTACAACATTAATCAATGCTGCAATAGTCGCTCTAAATCGTTGGATACTAAATGAAAATTATGAATGCCTCCATGCATGTATATATATATATATACATACATGTGTGTATATCATATTGCCCTCCAATAGGCTAACATGGTACTTCCAAACTCGTAACTAGTACTTTCTGCGGAAATCTAGGTACCGGCGGGTGATGTTCAAAAGTCAAACCACAGGAGTGCTTGTTGTATCTTATTCCACCAGTGCGCTGCGTTCATTTCAATCAAGGTGTGAAGTTTACGAGAGTTAGATATCATCGCTGCATCGCACTGTTTGTTTGGCAGCAAGTGCCTTCCGGCACCTGCAAGCGACCCCACACTGTCTGAGGCGTCGAAGAGAGTGTGCTCTTCGCATATCGTAGTAGGCGCTCCAACAAGTCCCCTCTGATGTTACCGGAGTATTGAAGCTCAAGCACAGACACCTCCTGGCATGCGTCCAAGGTCTCCGTAAGCTCTCCATCCACCGCACTGTGGACGTTGGCATGCGACGCCAACTTGTAGGTCTTGGGCACCCAAGCCAAAGTCGCCACATCTTCTTTCTCATCTTGTCGAAGGGACTGCAGCAGTCTCGTTAACATGTACAGACCAAGGCAGGTCGCAGTAAGAACACTGCCAGCCAAAGAAAGTTCCCAACAAAGTAGCCACTTATGAGGCATGGATCTCACGGGATCCAAGGCCCAATTCCAGCTGCGAAAGAGTCGAAGTGGCGCCCGGTCAAACGTCAAATGGGCTATGCATTGCTGCTGTTTGTTCTGCTCCGGTGGTCGACAAAGGTACACTGTCTTGCCAAACATTTCTTTGGATTTTGGGATGATCAATGCCATCCACGTTGAGTTGAGCTGCAATGGGTTCTCTGGGAACATGTGAAGTTCCACTGCAGGAATCTCTTCCCCGGCCTGGGCCTTGACATTTTCCACAACTTTGCTGGCATGTCCCAGCTGATACGCATTTGCCGCCTTCCTGAGTAACAACCAAGAGGTCAAAGTATGTCAAAATGTTCCATGAATCTCAAGACGTTCCATAATACGTCGCACCAGATCTGCAATGGAAACATGAGTTTTCCATTTTACCGGACATGGACCCAGCTGAAACTGATAACCGGCGATGACAAATAATGACAGGCAACGTCACATGATGACACAGTGATGACAGGTAATGATCATGATGGCAAATGACAACACATGAACGCGGAATGACACAACGATGACAAATTGATGGCAAACGATGGGAAGCCAGAAATTCCATAAAACAAATACACATAACCACCACCACCACCACCAACAGCTCCACCAGCAGCCCCACCATCAGCCCCACATCAGCCCCACATCAGCCCCATCACCAGCCCCACCAGCTCAGCTCCACCACCGCCACCGCCACCATGTAGAATTCAATATACACAATCTTTACAATCAACCTGTCCAACTACACTCTGATCAATCAATCACTGTCTACAGTCCACAGCAAGCTTGATCATTCCATTGTGCACTCACAGTGACAGCAATCCGGTCTTGAGCCAAACTCCCGTTGGTGTCATTCAGTATGCTCACCCTGTGGCATACAATCCAGGTCATTGTGGGAACAATGTCATCTAACACACTTGAATCAGACCTTCAGTCAAGATTCACATTGCCAATCAAGAACGTCAACATTCTTCGTTCAATGTTGACCAATCATTTCAAAACCAAACAATCCAACACTTAAAAAAATCACCCAAATCAATTAACTCACGAATAACATGTTGAAGCATTCACTCAATCCTGCATTAATGCTTCACTCTGCGCGCACCCACAATCTGCAATCCGGCGCTGTGCAGTCGAATAAGGCTAAAGCGGTCAATCCCACTTGCAATCAAAGAATACATTCAAGCCAGCAATCCAGAGCAATTACAGTAACATGGGTACCAGAACCAATCTGCATTCCAAAGTGAAAACTCAGTTGCCGTCTGCATTGAACTTCCACCATTTGCAATTTCAGTGTCAGTGGAAACATTGACCAGCAAACCCAAGAAAAGCCGCTGTTGACCATTCAACGTGTCACACAGTCTGCACATCACATGCACTGAGGACTCGTTTCAGATAATATTCCAAATTCATATATTGCCGCTCCACCAGTCTGAAACTCCAGCGAAAACCCTTGCATTCACAACTTCCGGAACGCAATCTCAATCTTCTCAGACATCTTTTTGATCATTGACCCAATCATTGTCATTGGGTCACCACCACCACCACCACCACCACCACCACCACCAGCACCAGCACCAGCAGCAGCAGCAGCAGCAGCAGCAGCAGCAGCAGCAGCAGCAGCAGCAACGACAACCACAACCACAACGACACCCACAACCACAACGACACCCACAACCACAACGACACCCACCACCACCACCACCACCACCACCACCACCAACAACAACAACAACAACAACAACCACCACGACAACAACAGCAGCAGCAGCAGCAGCAGCATCAGCAGCACCGGCGACACCAACGGCCGCACCAGCACCATCACCATCACCACCGCCAGCAGCAGCAGCAGCAGCAGCAGGAGCAGCAGCAGCAGCAGCAGCAGCACCGGCGACACCAACGGCCTCACCAGCCCCAGCCCCACCACCAGCTTCACCAGCTCCACCAGCCCCAAGGGCCCCACCACCCCCACCGCCAGCACCACCACCATCAACAACAACAACATCGAAATCTGTAAGAGACTGAGATATCATAAAAGAAAACACACACCAGGTGTGACCAGGTTCAATCCTTCTGCGAGTTGTTTCACCTTGAAGCGCTGCTCATGCTGCAAGCGCTTGGCTTTCGTGGAGTTGGGTACTTTGCTCAACTTGATGTCCAGGTCCAGGTCGCAATCAGATGAAGGTGACAGGAAGAACTCCCGCGACTCGAAGAAGGTGAAGTCGGGATCTTTGAAAAACAATGAGGCCACGTCGAAATTGACTGGATCACTCCTGGAAGAGGCGAACATTCGGACGAAGATTCTCTCATAAACGACTCAACATGCGTATGACGGAACACGAAAGATCCTTAAAGTCATGAAATGGCGTAATATGATGTCATTGTGATGTCACTATCACACAACCTCCTTACCTCCACCAAAAACTCAAGCAAACTCGCCAAAAACTCATCTTGAAGCACAATCTCAACTCCAAGGTTCGGTTCAGCCGTGAAGGTGCACTTCTCCCCTTCGGCATGTAGAAGATCCACGTGCGGTCGAAGAGCGACCGAGAAAGATTGGCAAAGAACGAAAGGAATAAAGAGCATCGAAACGTTATGAGCTGAACCAGCCCAGAATCTGCGGGAAATTCTGCACCATTTCAACAAATTCAACAAACACTCAAACAACAAATCTCCAATACCGATGCACGTCCTGGGAAACACACCAAAACCTCAACAACTCATCTTTCTGACACGCCAAACTTGGTTTGCCATGTTGCACCGTGATGACGTCATGATGAGATCGAGATCCTGACGTGAATGCCTCCTCTCATCGGCATCCGCTCGAGATCACCTGAGCGACTCGGCCCACACTCTTAGCCCCTGGAAGCAGCGCAGGAAAGATGACGGAAATGCGACCAGTCGGCGACCCAACTGACATCTCAGGACATCTCCGTCTCCATCTGAGAATCACCACTCCTGCACAACCAGGGTCCCTGCCTTTGGAATTCCTGCAGCGCTCGGCGCCCCAGCAACACAGCTACTGGAACGCAGAAACAAGTTCTGCGATGATGTGGCCAAACATAGAGTTGTTTTCTGCACACTGGCAATTGCTCGCGAGCTCCGCGGGAAAACTTGAGATACTGTCTCTGTCCCGGACAATGTACCACTCCCTACCTATCCTTGCACCCCGCAGGCAAAGGCTCTGCGTTTACCATTGAGAGACTGTCTCTGTGTCCCGGACAATGCAGCACACCATACCAATCTCTGCACGGCTACAGTTGAGACCGAATCAGCGGTTACAATGGAGACAATTCGCACGTCACAATTGAGGCACCAACCGATTCGTGTGAAGCCATCATGATTCATCTTCACACCTTCAAGAGCCGAAGGCCAACAAAACACATGAGTTATGAAGGCGAAGAAGAGAAACATGTAAAATCAACGCCCAAATGCTTTTATCAGCGCAGCCAGTCCTCAGCTTCAGGCCTCAGTCATCCTGAATCATCCTCAATCTCCCACATGCCAAAATCCAATGCCCTTGAAATTGATCATCTCCTTGCGCTTGCTGTCACCAAGCTTGTCCAAAAACAACGCAGGTTCTCCTTTCGGCATTCTGTCACCTTTGGCCGCCGATGCTTTGTCTGTTCATTGGGAAACATCTTCTTGCATTTCGTGGGTAATTTTGCCGGAGCTTCACATGAGCCTTCAACCGTCTCCAACAGATGGGTCACTTGACTCTTGGACTCTTGGTCATTCAGCCGCACCTCCTCGAGCAAACCTTCACTGAATCCTTTCTTGTGAAGGTTCTTCCGGTGCATCAGAATAGCATCGGACATGGAAATCTTCAGCTAACAATTTTCACCCAAGAGCTGAATTTGCTCCAAAAGAAAGACCTTGCCAAGTCCTGGCTGAAGATCAGCATCTCCACTGGTCTGCCAACCTCTGGCTTTGGATCCACGGGCTCGTATTTCTCAGCCAGGTTGCATTGCACACCCTTCTCAGTCCAAACCAACATGGACTCCTGCCGGACGACAATTACACCTGTCAACATCTGTAGGCTCAGGCAGATTATTCATGGACACCTTGTCCACATCCGCTCGGGATAGCACGGCCCACGGAGTCACACAGCCTTTGTCGAGCCCAGCCTTTCAGGATGTTTCGTTTGGAACAGCATTCCTCTTCCCAATTGATCTGCTGCTCTCGGGCCAGGAAGAGCATCTCCATTCCACTGGGGCACCCCATCTTTGTTCCGAGTAATCAGTGTCCCACTCACACCAGTTGATGTCGACATGTCTACTTCACTACGGCTCAGCTGTAATGGCCTTCCCCTGGATCTTGGCTCTCCTTCAAGCCTGGCGCACCTATTGAAGCAGGTTCCGCTACCGTGGAAGTCGACTGCTGGGTCAGCGGTGGTAGCTGCACTGCTCAAAGAATGCTCTAGGGGGCGAAGTTCGCTGACCCCAACCTCTGAACAGCCTGGCAACGCAAGGCTGGTGCAGAAGTTAATGCTCACAGTTTTCTTCCCCCTCGAGCAGCTTTTGCCACAACGTACGCATTACCAGTCAAGCGTTTAGATCACTTGCAAACCCTATGTCATGCTGGGCAATGTTCACTAAAAATCATCGCTTTAGCGATGCCTATGACGAGTGATACCAGTGGATCCAACTCAGATCTCCTTTCGACAATTGTGACATTACATACCATAAGATGCCATAAGATAACAGTCTGAGTCGAAGTTTAGCCTCAGCAGCATTATGAGGCAATCTGCTATTGATGTAGCCAGCTGTATCCAATGCAAGCTGGCCTCACAGGTGTGGAGATGCAAAGCCCCGCCATGAACCTGTCAGCCGACCCATTTCAACTGACACAACTGAAAAAACGATGAAGGACAAAAGAAAGACCCATGAGAATCCATGAAATATGTAAAGAAGACATCTGGACGCATGACTACAAATCTCAATGTTTGTCGCCCACACCACAACGAAACTAACTCTAAAGCATCAACCCTAAAGGCTGCTCCTCCATCTAGCTGACCACCATCTTGTCACGATCTTGGAATGATCCAATATGGACAACATACGACTTAATGTAGATGCAGAATATAACTTATAACAGAATCCGCAATGAAACATGATGCTCCCTAGTATTCCATGATTATCAAACGTCATCTCCAAATCTCTGGAGTGTCAAGCTGGAAGAAATGGAACCGTATAGGCCGCCCCAGACGAAAAAGAAAAACAAAAAAAAACTGAGGCACGTGAAACTCCGCGGCCCCGAGACCATACACCAGACCAGTAGAAGTTGTAACTATCGCATCTCATCCCGTCTTCAGGTCCAACCCATCCTAGCTGCATGTCCAGGATGGATTTCTAGATGGATTTAACATGTGGAAAAAAACTGTCTATCCTGCAGGGTGGAATAGAGAAATGCAGTTCCAGCATTGATTTGAAACTTGACATGGCGACACACGCGGCTCCCAACTGAATCGCCTGCTGAGTTTTGGAGAATCCTTCATGGGCCCCAATTACTACCTTCTACGCAGCCACATGTGTCCAAATCCAAGAATCACCACGTCCACAGACCCCCTCAACACAGGGGCCGCCTCCACAACCTTCGCCGACCAAGCGGCCTTCCAAAAGACATGCAGAGCGGCAACGCCATTTCGCAAACAACATTCAACCGAACGAGTTCTCATGCCTTGCGCATGATCCAACTGGATTGATTTTCAGGCTTCAGAAGGTGTAATGGCACACATACAAGATTCAAGCGCCACATGTTTTTTTCTGCACAGCCATTCCTCAGTTTGAAGCCTCACTCATCCTCCATTTCCCCTATGCACAAATCCAATGCTCTGAAAATTCATGGCGATGATTTGGCCTTGTCCGAGCTTCTTCAAAAAACTCCAGTCCTTCTTCCTGCATTCCGTCACCCTCCGGCAGGTGATGCCTTTCGATCTGGAGTCAAACTGAAAGTAGCGAGCTACTTCTTTGCCTTTCTCAAAGTTGTCCTTGCAGGCGGCCGGATCTTTTGCATCATGAGCTTCAAATTCGCATTGCATTGCCTTCATCTCCGACGTGCGACTGTATTGCCAACCGTTTTCCTGGC